TAACGCAGCCTACTATCAGGAGCGGACTCAGGGTATACAAAATCGTGGTGCTGGGCGACGGCGGTGTTGGCAAATCAGGTATCCGTCGTCTGATTGATTTATTGGAGTAATGTTTCATCAAATCATCAAACGTTTGAGTGTACATATTGTGTACTATAATTACATGTCTTGCTTTTCAGCTGTCACTTTGCAGTTTGTCAGTCACAGGTTTCTAGACTATCATGACCCTACAATAGGTAAGTCGCATTCTATGTAAAGAAAGTTGGAGCTCGTTAATTCTCGAGTAAATCTTATAAAGAAGTAGAAAACAACTAGATATTAATCAACCAATGTATAGAGTCTGAGAGATTAAACATCTAATTCGAGTTGTCAAGATCAATGCACAAATGAAATAACTCTTTCTCTTTTATTCATAGAGGATTCATATCAGACACAAGTAGTTATCGATGGTGAGGCAGCTCTCCTGGATATTTTAGACACAGCTGGACAGGTTCGAAACTTATATATTACAATGGTCACAACATTATACTACACTGACACGTTCTTCATGTATTCTTGTATACTAACGGAAATGGATCCTGACTCTGTATACTTACTGTTGTATACAGGTGGAATTCACAGCAATGCGGGAGCAATATATGAGATGCGGCGAAGGTTTCATGATATGTTACTCGGTAACAGATAGGCATAGTTTCCAAGAGACAATGGAGTACAGAAAACTAATATCACGTGTTCGCGCCAACGAGAACATTCCTCTAGTGGTGGTTGGCAATAAGTTCGATCTACAACATCATCGAAAGGTGCAACAGATGCTGTCGAGTTGACCATGACATATCAGAAATCGTGAATATAATCGCGATAATACGGCATACAAGAACAATGAAATATTGATTTCTCGCATACATATTGAACTTGTCGCCTATTTTAGGTGACCACGGAGGAAGGCAAGGCATTGGCGGAAGAACTCGGTTGTCCGTTTTACGAGACATCCGCCGCTCTCAGACAATTCATAGACGATGCATTTTTCTCGCTGATCAGACAAATTCGCACTAAGGAGAGGTCCCGCAGACGCAGCCGGTGGTGGCGAATTCGCTCGATCTTCGCCTTTATTTTCCGACGGAGGAGACATGCTTCTCACCGTACTGTGTAAAACTGATTTTTGATAATGAGTTCTTCACTAGAGAGTTCGTTGTCGAGAACCGACAACGATAGCGATGACGGGAGTAATATCATAGCAAGCCACAACGAAATAGATATTACCCATAACTTTAATTTACGCGATACATAGTTACCCTTATTTAGAGACTGACAATTCATTAACATTTCACTGCCTTATCATTGACCCTAGTATGTATTAGGTGTATGCAGAAGTTTTAGTCTTTTTTTTTTTCAATGTTCTGGTATAATTATTTTAAACTCAAATAATTTATCGCCTTTTCATCTATTTGTAAGACTGATATCGAATTATCTGAAACGCCATATTTTATAATTAATTTAATGATGCACATAATCTTGCAAAATAACAGTGAACACGACGAATAACGAAAAGCTTTAAATACGATATTACATTCGGTATGAATTCCAGCAAAAAAACATTGCTAAAGCATGTGAATCAATTTGCTTCTTGATGAAGGTACTGTGTCTTATAACATTTTCGTTATTTTAAAAATAATTTTGATATATATATTAAAAAAATATATGATTAAGGCTTTTGTATATCTGATGAGATATAAAAAGTGTGTTCCATTAAAGGCTTCTTAAATCAGGTGAAACTGATAATGCCAAACGCTATTATTGTCAATTACTTAAATGATTTGATTGAAAAAAACAGAAGAAAAGTACTTATATTACATATAAATAAAATAAAAATTAAAAAAAGACTAAAATTTCTAAAGCATATATCTAATATTTTGAATGCAAAGCAAAGTGAAATTGTCAAATAAGCTGGAACGCACACTTTGTATTCATCTTAGACTTGAGATCTCGAATTACTCATTCGTGCTGCTCAATTAAAGAAATATAAAGCATGATACATAATAGATTCATACTTTCTGTAGAGAATATGTATAGCATACACTTGTGACTTCCAGTTTTCTATAATGACGATTTCTCTCTATTTATCTCGAAGGCTGTTAATGTTTATTTAAGTTAGGTTTTACAAACGTCAGTGGCGATAAAAAACAAAACCTAAGGCAACTAATTTTGTATAAGTAAATATTTCATAAATATTTCTAACGAATCACTTTTTTGATAGCTATAGACACGTTACGACACATTTAAATTTTATTTTGTTAAGTAACATACGCGACCAAAGAAAAGTATATAAAATGTTAATGCAAAGCAAAAGTGATTCTTAGCGAAGAAAAATAAAAATGCAAGATATAAAAGCTTTATATAAAAACTTTACAAGATAAATAGCTGCAATTTAAAAAAATGTATAAAATTGAATTTTATTTATTTTAATTTAATTCAATGTAAATATAAAGACTATGCTGCTACAAGTTATGAATGAAAGCTTATAAAAGTTGCAGTAAATTGCAAAGTTTAGAATTGTTATATATTTAGTATTATTAATTATTATCAACATAAATTACATGATCTCTAAAATATCTCAAAAAAACATTTCTTTATTAAAACATATGAATATGTCTATTGTAGACATAAATAATTGAACTGGCAATAAGTAAATATATTATTTCTATACAGACACAAAAGCTCAGAAAAAAATATCATGTAGGCGTTAAAATAATCAGAGTTTATATATATGTGTGGTATAAATTATATTCCAGTTCAAAGAGCATTCGAGTGCAGTTTAATATTTACAATAAATATTCTAATTATATGCAGCTCATCAAATATACGTATATATATAATATATTTATGTAATTTTTAAAAATCAATCTAATCAGTCATTAATTATTCTTTAGTTTTAATTTAGTCATAAACTGGTGTGAGATTTATAGTAGCTTTGGAAAGAAAGTCATTAATATATACACATACAAATGCAATCATTTAGACATTAATCCATGTAGTTATTATCTAGTCATTACTTAATTTTTACTAGTCACTTCGTCATTTTGTATTTTGTTGTAATATATTGACATATTATTTTAATTATAAATAATCATCGATTAACGCACAATTTTCCATTGTAATTCTCGAATTTGTTGTTATGTTATGATTGGTATGACAGTATATACCGTGAATGTATATATGTGTATTATTATATATTATATGACATTACATATTGTTAAATGAGAAATATTAGATTTGTATAATATTCGTTCAATATTATGTTTGTATGATTTAACATTTTCTATGTTTAATGGCAGTTATTACAAATTATTGCAAGCGCACATATATATACACATAATATATTATGAACATTATGTTATTAACATGTACTAATAATTTATTTTAAAGTCATAGCAGCAGATATGACTCTATTTGTAGCAGTAAATACAAGTATTATTGACAGCATTTATGATGATGAGTTTGCAACATATAATTGGTATAAAGAATGATTATATTGATTAAAATAAACGTACCAATATGCACACATACTCACTCACACACACAGTCTCACACACACAACACACACAAGCGCGCGTATGTATTTGTGTGTAACTGCATGTTTAGAGAAATTTACACAATTTGTGCGGCATTGAACATAGAATATTTGTGCGTTCATATCAGTAAACAGGAGTATCATAATTATTGTCTTAGAATTAAAGATATGAAAAACAGAAGTAACTGTTAATGAGATAAAGTAACCATGGCCATGTATCGTTATGTCGTCATCTTATCATCATTACTATATATAAAAAGGAAAAAAATAGTAAGAAAAATTGTAAGATGTCATTAAAGATCGATATAAGTAACATTATTACGTTATATATCACGATATTTATCAATTAGCTGTTAGAGAGATTAAGCCTCATACGTAATACGACATAAATTATGGATCTCGTATACGATAAGAGAACATAATGGAAAACAAAGTAGTGACAGGCATGTAGAGAACAATAATTTATAATTTACGAAGACAATATGATAATCAACGATCACTTTGACGTTATATTTTTTATTTCATTTTTACATACACAAATTTTAATAATATGTAAAATATTGAGAAAGAGAAACTGCAGACTAACACGTGTAATTTTTTATGCAATAGATGATAAACTCGATGCTATACTACACAATGATACATATAAACATCGCATAAGTATAAACCGTAGGAATTTTGCAATAATATCGTGAAATTTTATGTAAGCTGAATATATTTTGGATATATGCTAACAAGAATATAAAACTGATATATATTTTGCATTATGGATATAAAATAATTTTTTTAAGATATAAGATATAAGGAATGTAAAGAAATGCAATTTTAAAATAATTAATCAATACCATGCCTAATTTTCATTATTAAAAATTTGTCATAAACTTGAGCTGTCTTTATCCTTAATAAAAATCGTAACAATATTTTTTATATCGAAATTTATCATTCATTATCCATCCAATAAGACTGCAGTAAAATTGGTAAAGAAAAGTTTAAATAAAGATATTTACGTAAATAAAAACTTTTCTCATCTTTATATTTTTATGTAAAACATTTACAATGTTATGCACACAATTTTACTATTTCTTTTGAGTCATATACATATAATAAAACCGTATCAAAAAATTATTGCACACATTTTGTCTAAAAATTATTAGTGTAATAATTATTGGCATTCATTTTCAGATCTTTCAATGATCACAGTATTCGCTCACTACATAAAGATTTCACATATGGCCTCAAACGTATGTATATAAAAAGAAATGACCAACTAATTTTGGCACATCCATACATTACAATTAGTAATTTCATCTTCAGTATTATAGAAAAAAAATTATTTAAAAAGTACATACTTTTAAGATAACAACGTATAAAAAATATTTGTACCATAAACAATTAAATGTGCATTAAATGTGCATACGATACAATTGAGCACAATATTTTACACAATGCATAGTCAAAAGTTTATAATCCACGATGTGAATCAGAATATCACTTAATGTATATATATATATATTTTTTTTTTAAACTAAGTATCTCGCGTTTTGCAAGACTGCGTTATTTATTTCTAAGTTATATTGCGTGATACTGATATAATTTTGCCTCCAGATTTCTTTGTGGCACCTTGCGTTTTATCATCTTCTTCATAATTGTCTGGAAATAGCGCAGTTTCCTCTGTGTTTTGTATGTCATCTCCATTGTTATCTACATAAATGATAAAAAAATAAAAGAAATTATTGTGAGTTTATTGTCCCTTTCACAAATTTTTAGATCCAGATTTCTACGTCGAATTGAATAGTGTGTATAATAACAATAAAATAAAAAGAATGAAAATCTAATTGAGATTTTATAAAAAGTATACTAAGAGAACAAGTTGAATGTGAACATTATGAGAATATTACTTTCACAAATTACAACACTTCGGAAAGATAAAAATTAAATATATGCAGTGATCGCTATGTTTAAAGTTTTAATTACCACGTGCACGATTTTCAGGATCTTCCAAAATGTTGATAACTGGATTATCCTGCTCTGCGGAATTATTCGTCGTGTCATTGGCTTGTTTCGATTCCGTTTCAACTGAAAGCCATGTAAGCTAAATTACTATACTAAAGTAAAAAATTCATGTGTCTCTGAAAAATTTTAATTACTGTTGTTTGTTATACAGAATATGACAACTGTATATAATACGAATTATTATTAGATACGCGTGTTAGTAACTAATAATTATATGCAACTTCCTGCATCAGCACTTGTAAACTCCATGCAGTTAATATAAAATGTTAGTTTTTTATATACCATATTATTTTCATAGTAATAATATCAATACTAAGTATCCGCAACCAATCCATTTCCCTTGATATATAGCCTAAGCCTAGAAGCAGGAATATCTTGCTGAAAATATTACACATGTAAGATGTTTTCTCATGCTATTGAGAAACTTGTTTTACGCTTGATATTTTTAGAGAGTTAAAAATGTTTTATAGTTTATCACATTTTTTTATTATTTGACATATTTCTATAAATACAAATCAAAATTTGTAATGCACATTTTTTTAATGGTTTATACCATTTAATCATAAAATCCTATTAATAAATACAATATTACAACAAGCTCTAAATAAATCGCAAAATATTTTAAAAATATTCACAAACTTAATAATTATCATAACTTAGTTATAAATTATAAACAATCTTATTTCATCTCATTCTATATACAGATTTACTTTTATGAAGTACATAATTATTTAATTTTTTTTAATTATGCTTAGGAAAAAACAATATATTTATTGTTAAAATAATTAAAATACAATTCTTATAGAAAAATAAATTATTGCATCTATTAACTCAGAAATTGTACTTGTGTGACTGTGCGATTCTCAGTCTATAAACTGTATAAATTTTTATAAGTATATAAATATTTTGTACTATTCTATTGTATAATAATATATACAAAATTAGACTTCGTAAGCCTAACATAAAGCCTAAGAAAGTGGACTATTACTATTTTATTCTATAAAGACACAATTTTCTGTTACAATACTAAAACAGTCTTTTATGAAAATTTCAGCGTTTGATAGAGAAATAATAGTTTATATATTATTATGAATAAAAACCCAAAGGACCAAGAACGATCCATAATTAGAAGCGATATATACTCTATTCAACGCGAGACTTACTACTCTTCGCTAATAGGAGGCAGCGTAGTGGGCAAAATAAGGAGATGTTGAGATTATTTCACCCATTCAATTTTCTAAGCGTGCCTTATTTACGTATATAAAAGGATACATCTCCACTATGCTGCCTTCTATGCACGAAGAACGGTAAATCTCTCGTTGAACAGAGTGTATAATGAATTTGTTTTTAATAGAGCCCCAGTGAAAAAATTTCGCTGAAATTATTTCCACGTTTTGGAACGTTTCAACAGCAAATTGCTGAAAATTTGCTGAAATTTCACTGAAAGTGAATTTTTCAGTTAACATACTAAAAAATCGCTGAAACTGAACTGAAATTTCTCTGGAATTTTGATAAAATTTTTCTGAAATTTTGCTAAAAATAAATTCAGAAATCATTGAAATTTTTTTGAAATATTGAAATTTCGCCGAAGTGTTCCAAAATGTGAAATAATTTCAGCGAAATTTTTTCAACAAAGAGAACTTTAGAGAGAGAGTCACAGATACATGAAAATGTGAATTATGTACAAATCTACTGCAAACTTTTAATTTCATGTTTGTGGCAGCATTCTCTCGCCTCGAGGACGGAGAAAGGTATCACTACCTTTCTTCAACATAGTCACTGAGAAACGAGGAGTTTGGCGCACAGCACCAGGTGGGTTGATTGGTAGGATCGGAATTCCGTGGAACTTCAAACCTCGCTGACCAGCTACGGATACTCTTACAGCAGACTCCGGTACAGGATGCAACTGAGACTTGTTAATGACCACTGTCGTTGCTAGATCAGCAAATCCCGACAATATCTTATAATGCTGAGTCAGTAAAAAATGTGCAAAGGGGAACGAGCTTGTAGTCGCATTAATTCTTGCGTGAGCAGCCCAATCGGAGTTAGAACTTAATGGGGATATTGACGAGATTTAAAAAAAAGAAAAATAGAAGATATTTTTCCCGTTGTTGAAGCAGGGAGTGCAATTAGTAATCTAAATTAGCAATATTTCCATTCGTACAATTATACTAGTAATATACTGTAGATATTTCTTGTATTAAATAAACTACTCAAAAAAATTAATTTCAATAAACATTCAGTTATAAAAATGCAATTATTAATCATAACAGAAAATGTAAATATGTCAAACAAAATTCATGATAGAGATAATTATAACTTACGCGGCTCAAGATTTGAAGTCTCTTTCTTCTCAGGTGGTGAATTGCAACCAAGTTTGAGTTGATCCATTTCTCCTTTCAGCTATAAAATCACCATCAATTTGATTACACTTTTCAATCATATTATATTTTAACTTTACTATTAGTATCTAACTATTAAATAAAAAGTTCGTACCCTATCTACTTCTTCTTGAAGTTTCTTATTCTCATCTCGTTTTACATCTAATTGAGTATTAATTGTATCCTTTTCTAATCTCAATGTTTCTAATGTTGCAGTTTTTGTGGCGTCCAGTTTGTTTAGCGAGTCTAGCTCACTTCTACACATAGTAACTGAATCTTCGAGTTCCTCATTTTTCTTTTTAAAATCCATCTGCTGCTCCAAACGAACGTGCAAGGAAGCCAATTCATCTTCTGTGTGCTTAAACCTTTGTTCCAAGTTACCACGCAACGTTACGCACTGATCTCTTTCTTCAGCACTGAAAGGAAGATTTAATTTCTTCGTTAGAATGAGATTTGAAATTTTGTTAAACATTTTTATATATTGTAATGAGTAATAATCTGAAAAAAGAATTTGGCAATGGTAATATTATTACCGTGCATGGTGCAAGTATAAGCCACAAGCAAAAATTTTCATGAAAAACAAATTCACATACATTTGTTGCCTTAAAAATTATATGACAATCATAATCCAGAAAGAGTAGAAACTCGCAATGTTTCTGCAACAGTCTGACATCAATATTTCAAGCAGTTACCTTCATTATAAACATTTAAACGACATCGTAACATAACTCTTTGGTAACCACAACTAAATTATATACATCAATGACTGTCATTCATTGCAGAGACAGTGGTTAACAAAATTCCAAGTACGTAGTAAGATTTTACTTGATGCAACCAGCGATGTTACCAGTTTAAGCCCACCTTATTTTAAGCTGTTCGTTCAAATCGTCGATCTGCCTGATGAGCTCCAGATTCTCGGAAGACAGAGTCCACCAGCTGCAGACGAGCATGAGGCACGCCAGCAGGAGTCCTCCGACTAGGAGGGGCGGGCATCTGCCTCCGCCGACTCTCATACTGTCGATTCCCATCACTCTTGCTTTCGTGTCGTACGCCGGCTCCCGCTCAACGGAACATATGTCACCTTATCGTCGATTTATCTCTGCAAACAACCTACGTGTCACGCGCTTTTTTTTTTTGATGAGAAACGTGATCCGCGCGTAACCCCACTCCGTACGCGGAACGCGATACTTGTCGGGCGACAAAGCGAATTCCACGTTGACGTCGTCGACGCGCTACGCTTCGCCTCTCTCAGGAACAGTTTCGCGTGATAGCCATTTAAAAATCGCGTATTTTAGGCACTTTAGGGGGGCGTGCTCCGATATACGCCGCCGGCACCGGCAGCGATACGACGCCAGAATGCAGATATGACAGCGTTTTCCGATTCTTTCTGCGGACACATGTGTATACAGGGTGTCCCAGAAAGAACGCATTAAAAATATACAATTACTTTACCGATCCGAGATTTTATTTCCTCTTCGAGTACTCGATCGAATAATATACTTCTGTCATTATTTTTTGATATTAAATGTTGGCTAATTTTTTTATTAAACTTGAAATTTGCACGCGCGTGACTTTATTTATCATAAAAGTTTTGTTATATTTTTATTAAAATAATTCAGTGAAATCTCTCTCTCTTTGCTTTTAGAGTTGAGAATAATAAAAAATATACGTCGTTAGAGACGTCAAAAAAATGTTTAATGTTATTTTATTTCATATACATCTATTATTGTTTCTATCGGCAAAATTGACAATCGGCGACTGGAATACTTGCACTGATTGCACTGTATTTCAAATGATCGATCGATATCTCTCACTGTCTATTCAAATCATTTTCCGTTTGCCGGAAGTACTTGTTTATGATCATATTTAAAAAGACAAGATTAGATTTTCCTTTGTAGCTATTTTAATTTTTAATTTGCCCCGGCGTTCTCATTTGTTAACACGATCACGAACTACCTTTTGTCTAACGTAAGATAGAGAAAATTGTAGGTCAGCGATAACCTTGGCGAGATAAGCGCATATGAGTAATTAACATAATTATGTGGTATAAATAAGAGGAACAAATTTTTATTCTTTAAAAACAGTTATCGGCGTTGCTATAATAATCGTAAATAATTATAAATTAATTTTTTTAACTTTAATGAAATAACAATACTTCAAAAATCATTTTAAAAATATATAAAAAATTTTGATTATACGACGCTTCGTGAACCATCAGCGAATCATCTCGCTGATAAATTGCGAATGATTTTATGAGAATTATTTTTAAAATGATTAATCGTGCGCTTGTCTACATTCTATAACTGTTAATAGAAAACGTATAACGCTTTGCATGTGATACAATCGATTTCTAGATCCTTGATGAAGATAGATTTACGGTTTGGTCATTTAAGGACGATTATCCCCTCTGTAAATGCTGAATCATCGCGCCGTATAAAATCCGCTGGATATGCATTAGGAAAAATGACCTTGCTGCTATCTTTCCTTTCACGATTCTCAACAAAATATCATATATTGATCTACCACTATTTGCAATTTAAACGACTGGAGGAGTTTTAATACACATACGTATAGTAGCAGATTGAATTAATTCGGCGTAAAAGAGATATTAATCTACAAAAAAGTTGATCGAACGGTAAGATAAATTATCTTTTTACTTTATACATTTTTCATAAGTAAGTTATAGGTAATAAAAGTCACAATCAAAAGTTTTTTACATGCATTAAATTATAATATATTATAAAGAATTAATCTATTTAAGCTCATACATCCATATATCGAAATTAAAAATAAAATAAGAAAATTAATTAACTTTTGACTTAAACAAACATCTCAATTAAATTATGTAACTTATAATACGTAATAACAGCAATACCTTTAAATTGCAGTATCGCGCTAAAGCAGGTCGGGATTTTAGCAGACGAGCACAGGTAAACATCTAGAAATAACGCACTTATGTACAAAAACATCGCATTTATTCTGTTCTTTTAATTATATGTATATATAATATATATTTACTTAACACTGTTCCATCGAAGAGAACTCATAGCCGATCAGAGCAAACAGAATATATATCCGATCTTGATGAAAAAAAAACCAACAGGATGGTGTCACCGGATTTACGGCACGCGGTTCGTTTCTAATCAACTAATTAGACACAGAGTTCAGGACAATTGAAGATCGATCGTAGATCGTGAGCACTGTGAGCAGTCCTGTCCGCCAACAGGATGAGACTGATGCGCGACTCGCCGTTTGTTCGCTCATTATCTCGACGAGCGCGATCGCAACCAGTAACACCGGTCTGATAAAACGCCGCTGATTCCCGCTCGCGATGCACTGTTTGCAGCGATCGAAACTGTTCTGACACTTATCTATACAGTAATAGGATCGCTTAACTATTCATTTATGCGGTATTTCTTCTGTTATAGACTCTATTTTACACAATTTTATCGATCTACTTTTTGATTTCGTCAAATCTTAGAAAAATGGAAATTCGACGCGTATTCATAAATTTTTATCGATCATCTGACGCGAGAATATTAATATCGTTAGTAATGTGAGCCGATTAATTTATATCATTTTAAATAATTGTGGACTTGATTTATACTTTCTTTAACATTCGATTATTAAAATATTACTTATCATATAAAATATATATATATATATCCGAATTAATAGAAGAGAACACGGCTATGTTTCCATCAATTTTAGGACTTATTTAATTTGATTTAATTTATTCATGTTTGAATTTATTTTTTTCACTCTATTTTTCTATTAATTTCACATCTTATATAATACTTAATGTTATACAATTGAATAATTTTAACAAATTATACATATAGTTCAAATAAATCAAGTCATAATCATTATTAAAAATGAATAAATGTATGAGTGCGCAATTTATTCTTTTCTTTCAAGCGGAAAATGATCACTACTTTCGGAACATCCGGTATTGTTAATTTATTCATAACGATGTATTCTGTATTGATGCTTCGTAATGCGTTAGAATCGCGTGAAGGTTGTTTCGAAAGTGAACAAACCGAGTACGCAACATTTTCTTTTATCGCCTTTTCACATTCTTTACAATATATTCGCCTATACATATATTTTAAGAGAAATAAAATATATCATAAATTTCTCTAATGGCTTTCTTGTTTTTTGCATCATTGCGTGTCAAACGCTGGGATCAATTAAGGATCATTTGTCGTGACCTGTATTTCTTGATTATACTGATACTTCTGGGAAACGTAAGCCGGTCGTTACATCGTTTATCTATTACGAAAAAGAGATCAAGTTTACTTGATCGAAATGATCGCAAGATGTATAACGTAATCGGGTAAATCGAATGGCAAAGATTTAAAGTAATTTAATTTATTTTTATCTTGATTTTGAAAATACGGTTACAGACGAATTTTTCAACGATCATCGAAAGTCTACGAATTGAAACTAAATGTATTTGCCATCGACAAATTCAATTAATTTCTTCTTTTTAAATGATTTATTGTCAGTGATCGGTAGCACATGTACGCTACACTTGCAATTGTAAAATTGCGATGCATTTACAGTGAGAGTTTGCATATTGCGGTATTAAATTCGTGCGATAAAAGCGACGGTATTTCCTGTCTAGACTCTGCAGTTGGAAAATATTGCACTAATCAGTTCTAAAAATAATCTGCAAAGCCTCGTGTTAAACGAACGAATAGATAGTTGATGTTTCTTCCATATATTAGATGTACAAATGATTCAATGAAAAAGCAATTCGTTCCTTAGGCTAACCATGCGTCTTTATTTTTCTGCTGTCAATCGCAGACCCTACTTAATAACATCGTATTAATTAAAAAAGGTATAACGTAACGTACATTTTAGATAGGACGAATAATTTTGTATATTCTTATATTAAGAAGATACGAAAAACAATGTAAAAAATATATCGAATATAGTCTTTTTCATTTTGAACGATTCTCTATTGTTATTGTTTTACATTCATCGTTATGCAACGGAAAAAAAGTAAGCATGGAACAGGTGTTTTATACATATAAATACAAATTTTGAATATAAAATTAGAATATTGATAAAAAAATTTTTTTCATATGTGCATCGGGTCTGCGATTAGGCACGCTAGTTCCGTAAATATCCGTGTATTATCTAATGTTATTCGAAGGACTTATTTACAGTATGATTCATTGTAAATCCTTAGAAGATGTGTACGAGAGAGAAAGGATTGTAATTAACAATTACAATCTTCACTTCCTTACTTTTAATTTGTTACGTATATTCAATTTTATATACGTGCTTTCTACACACATACATCTTTTTATAATTCTTCTCGCACGCATCATTCCAATTTACATAGTTATAGCTTATTACAAAACGGTATAGTAGTTATATACTCATCACTATATATTGCGAAACTTTCGTCGTGTGATGTACTATTATAAATCAATTAGATACTCACAAGAGTATCTAATTTTGTCCGGCGACATGTGTAGATACATCGAACCGGAATCCTTATCAAAAAATACAAATCCGCTTAATATCATTGCAGGTTTCATGCAGTGCAATATCATCCATTTAGCACACATTATCCACAACGCGCTAAATTATATCCATCGAAATATCATCGCAACCTTTTATTATCCTATTATATGGCGCGTAAATCACTTTCACCATAATCTTTTTGTCGGTGTTTTCTAATAACCTGCGAATTTTTAAATATACGATTAAGATTTAGTATAGAAAAAGGATTTGTAGGAAAGTCATGGTCCGACGCTGACTTGGATCTTTTGGTCTCTCGTACAGCAGATTAGTTCAATCAGATTGAGAATCTTTTCAATTGGTACATAAAAATAAAATGGTAAATAATGTATTTGCCAATCAGTATTTTCTATCTTTAGTAAATTATAAATTGAAAAAATGATTCATCACGAAAATGGTGTCCAAATTAATAAATGTCTAATTAACTTTGCCCAACTTAACATATATTGTCTCTGTGTTATTAATTACCGAAGTAATATTTTTTTAAATCATTAATATCAGTAGTAAACGTAATAATTCTATTCACTTTTGTTCTTTTATAATAGTTCTGCTCGATTATGATTGAATAAAATGAGACAAGAATTAAATAAATATGTACGATTCGTTACTGCCAAACAAGACATTAATTCTCGAAAAGATAACACGAAATATTTTGAAGTTATCAATAACTGTAATAAATTTTGTAATATTTTTGTTGTTGTCGCTGTAGTATTTTTGCAATAAAATTTATTTATAGTATTTATATGTAAAAAAAAACAAAACACAAGTTTGTGAAATGGAAAGTTTATAATACAAAAAGCAAAAAGTTAATTACTATAAGGAAAATGATTAAATTAAAATAAAGTAAATATTTGTTCAATTGTAAAGCATAATGCATGTATACATTTTTATAAGAACACAAAATATTGTTTTTTTTTCTAGTGTCCATAATTCATACAATCTGGTATGAAGTATAGAAAGCATAATGAAGGTAAAGATTGTATATCGTATAAGAAATTTATCTATATTTATTTGCACGACATACTTCGGTGAAGAGTATAAATGCAGTAGCGGCGATTTACAAAGAAAGGGATACCGGTGAGACGCATGGTTGTAGTGACAATCCAAGATATTTTTATACACAAGACTTATGTGTACAGACACAGATACAGATTAGTGTCATCTCCTGTCAACAAAATATATAAACAAAATTAAACAGCTGATAACTCCTTATTGATTACTAATGATACAGATCATTCTATTTTTTTCTCGTTTTTTTTTTTAACATAGAGGATCAGCACAAACAATATTAAAATAATGCATTTAAAAGTATATACCATTTAGTTATCTCATTTACATTATACACACTATGTCTTCATCTGCATTTCCAGGCAATGTTTCTAAAGATGTATAAGAATCCATGTAAAAAATAAACAATTGCAATTGTACATTTAATTTAAAGTTCATTGGTACTACGAGAGTACCCTCCATAGTTGGAGATAATCTTTCTATAACATACAGATTTCCTAGTAAACTTTGTAAACGTAAAACGTCAATATAACAAATTGAGCGTTTGGGACGCTGTTAGTAAATGGTGTTCTATTTGCTTATGACATATATGGATAACGGAAAGCATATGTATATGGATAATCTAAAATAAAAATATACGCTTAAATTATTGCAGCATTCAACATAGTCAACCGAGAGAAGCGAGACTGCCGACAGCTTTTGTAATAAATTTTTCCACTTATCAAAAGCTTATCCAGTATTTTGATTAAAATATAATATGCTCAAAAAAAGTGTTAGAGGGATATTACATGTGCCCCTTTCTAATATATTGTATTTTTTTCTCTTACCTTTCCTTCGCGCATTAATTGTCCAATTATTTGCTATTTGTCTTAGAGCTATAAAAGATTAGAATTTACGTTAAGGACATACAGCCTACAGTTATTCAGATATATCAATATTCAAACAATTGTTTCGTTGCTGTTTAAAAATATCCTTAACTTTTCATGTGTGAAGTTTTCTTTTATCCACTAAAATATGAATAACCATCCTAGTGCCCGATTCTTAAAGATATTCATTAATTACATATATAGTATAATTCATTTAATAGATATATTATACAAAATATCTCTGCACCGTTGCAATTGTTTGACAAAAGCATACAAGTAACTTAATATTACACATGTTTCATAGATAATTTTATATTACGGATTGGTTCTTACTATCGATAACATATTCCTGTCGCATTTGGCAGTAACACAAAAATATCGGAATAACATATAACACCGACCGTCACGTAAAATTGGATCGATGACAATAAAAACTTCCTTTACTGCGTGAAACTAAAACATAAACGAGCAGATTGAAATAGGAGATTAATCAAGGTTAAACAATACATATAGCTTCCAATTATTCTATCTTATCAAAAAGTATTTTATTACTTCAAAATACGATAAACACAATTTTTTCGGTGCAAGAATTTTATGTACACTAAATACCCTACATTTCAAAAGCGAGCTTGCTCTGCATATAATGATGAATGCAAAAAGAATGCAGATACTCCATCAATGATAAATATATTATAAGAATTTGGATGTTTAAAAGATATCTTTGTCAAACATATATATATAATTGTTTAAACAAATATGTAAAATGTCGAATATGAATCCTATTCGGTTATTCATTCCCATGCAGTCATACATTGAACTCATCTGTTGCCAGATAATGAGAAAATCATAAATGAACGTGTCAGCCATGTTTTTACGTGATGCAAGTATGAGCATTTAGATGCGATATGTCGTACCGTCCGTTAGAAAACGCTATAAACATGGAAAAAAATTTATTTAACTCCAAAAAATAACCATGTCGCCATTTATTAACGATACTTATGTCTTTACAAAAAAAGATTCTTGCGCACTCTCACGAAAAAATAGGATGACAGCGAGTAAGAAACGTAGTACAGAAAGACGTTGACGTTCATACTGAACACTAAAGAATACTTTTCTCTTCCAATTCTTACACATAGATTGAGTCTACGGATACCTCTTTTTTTTCTTTCCTTCTCTTTCTCTCTCCTTCCACCGTTTTCTTATCGTTTCTTATCGCACGTTCATATCTTTCGCTTACTTGTATATCACGTCATTTAGCTGAT